CTGCAAAGGCCATTTACATTAACCAGAAAGTTCTTTACTGTGGGAAAATTTTGTTATAAAGGACTAGAGGCTAATCCTTTTTCCCTATGGAAGTTCACCCCCCCCAAAAGTGAACATTCATATAATTATTTCTTCCTTGGGATGTTTGGGGCTGGGGACTTCACATTTAAGAAGAATCTGTAATTATAAGATAAAATTTTATTGTTTCCCTAATCACAATGCATATTAGCCCTTTAAAGTCTTTGTGAGATTCTGCAGTTAAAACAATACTTAATTTCATTTACTCAAGGATTTTCCATAATTATTTGGCCAAGGAATGCTGCATCCATTTAAATTTTCTTCCAATCTGATTTATTAGCAGATCACAGGAACAGTATTTTCTGGAGGAAACTTTGAGATCCTGGGAGAAAGAGCCCTTCATTCATTGAATGAACAAAACTCTGAGTCTCAGCAAGCCCTATTCAAGGCACACAGGCAGAGATACCTCTTCTTATTGTGGGTATTCTTAGCCTTAGGGCATTAGCTGCCACATCAGGGAACCTCAACTGGCCAAAAAGAGAGGTTTTCCCATGATTGGGGTGCAGCGGTCCTGGGTAAGCCTGAAGAAACAGATTCGTGCGTTTCTTCTGTCACAGTGCTGTCAATGCTAATGGGATTAGGGGTGAGTGTGAGAAAAAGTTACTTAGTACTTCATGCGTGCTCTTCTACAGTTCTGGAAAATTGAGAAAATTTGATTAGGGCACCGGCGAAGAGGTGCCAGCTATTCGTTTATGTCAGTGGTAATTAATTGGTTCATATTCAAAGACACAGACCAGTTCTAGGACCTCTGTGGTCTCTGTGGGGTGAGGACAGCCTGCAGGATTGGAATGTCTCTGTGGTGCCAGGTTCTGCAGGGAGCCACTTCCCACTGTGCTCTTTGAGATCCTCTTCCCTGGCCAGCTCAGGGCAGAGTCCTCCTGATCCCAGGGCCTGCCCCCCTCTATGGCCACCAAAGCCTGGGGGTGGAGCCACATGTGATTTACAAAAATAAAAATCAATGTGGGTACACATGAGTGTAAGCAAATGTGTGTGTGTGTGTGTGTGTGAGAGAGAGAGAGAGAGAGAGAACCTGTGTGTGTGTGTGTGTGTGTGTGTGCGCGCGCGTGCACATGGGCATGCTCCTGGGTCTGCAGCCTTCCAATAAATATTTGCAAATATTAAACATATGTGCCCACTAGGAACATAGAGGGGTCAAAACAGGTATCTCTCTTGTCCTGAAGGAGAAGCATCCTGGTAGAATGACAAAAATACTGTGTTTGAAACCAGATAGTCATGTCTGGCTTCATGATCAGCCTTGCTTCTCTATCTTGGCTGAACGACAGGACACTGACCCTTTCTCTCTGTGCTTTAAACTTCCTAAAACTGGGAATATATTCAGGTAAAGGATGGAAATAATTTAAGCCAATTTCCCAGAATGTAGCAGGTGTTTATTTAATGGTCCTACTTATCGTTATATCAATTGCTCTTTACTGTTAGCAGGAATGGGGACTCCTGGAGGACCTCTTCTAGATTAAGCAGTGAAGCTTTCTGTCAAAATGATAAGGAACTAGATTTGAGGACAGGTGGCATTTAGACAGTGTCTTCCAGGACGGGTGGTGTGTATGTGCTTGTCAGTACCCATACTCATGTTGTTTTATTACAGAAAAAGAGTCTCAACTAGCACTGACCAATGACTAACTCTGACTGGAGATGGACAGAATGATGTGTGGAATTAAATAGGGAACTCCTCTCGACTTCTGTTTGTCACCATCCTTCCAGGTGACATTATCTTGAACTGCTTGAAGTGGAAGATTCCACTGGGCGAGAAGGAAAAAAATCAAAATCAGAGGCTCTTTCAAGAAAAATGATTGCAACTAATTTGCAATTTTCACTAAATACCACGCACAGTTCACAAAACTGGGTGGCCGTTGGGCGAGAGCACCAGTGTGGCTTTCACAGGGGCTCCCCCAACTCACCTGGCCAAGGCTGAACATATCTCAGGCCACGTAAGTTCTTCCTGTTGGTCATCCCATTTAACATTTACGACTCGACAATCCACGCTCAATATTCCCATTGTATGATTCAGAAAAACTGAGGTTTGCAAAGATTAAGAAACCCGCCTCATTGGGGTCCTAACCACCAAAGCTGTTTGGCAGCTAAGCTTAGACTCATATTCCTGGTTCCAGTGTCAGAGGACACTGGAGAATTTTATAACCCATGAAGCCAGCAAGGGTGTGTACTGGAGAATAGGCATCCTGGGGTCCAAAAGCCTGTCTTCAATGCTGGTCCTGCCCCACCAGTGACGTGCCTCTCAGGGAGTTTCAGTGTCCTGCATCCTGCATCGAGGGTCTACCTTTAGCTCCAGAGTTCATAGGACGGGAAGTGAGAATGCACAGCCAGACCCAGGCTAGGGGATGGTCTCCCTTCTACCCTTTCCTTCTCTCTGACCAAAGCTCCCTATCCTTGAACATGAGGGTTCGGTTTTACTTTCTTTGGCTTCAGAGCAGCATTTGGGAGAAGTCAACAATCCAGAGACACGGAAGACAGCCAGGCGGAGGAAGACAAACAAAACTGACACCGAGCAAAAATGCAAAGGTATTCAAAATGCGAGCTCTAATTTTCACTCTGCCGTCTGAAGCCTGCCAGACACAGGGCTTTGAGAAAGCAAAAAAATAAATAAATCTGATTTGTACTGAAAGGGGCCAAAAATAACCTTGCTTTCTCTTGCAGAAGAAAACAGAAAGCTCTGCAGTGTTTTCCTTCCATTTGGATGTCCTTCTTTCCTGGCTGGGATAGGCAGGGTGAGCCTCGGGCTAAGGTCTGGAAGGAAACAATGGACCAAAACAGTCAGGGGCCATGAAGGAGATGGTGGGGACATGGCTGAGGAGTGACCAGTGCTATGTTTGGCTAGGAGCAGACAGGTTTGAGTAGCAGGCAGGCAGCCACTGGGAAAGGGGACTTCATTTGCATATGCTAATTACAAATCATTTCTAATCAGTAATGAGCTGTATTTTTTTTAGCATTCCAGAATATCTTATGTGTCCCCACTTCCCTTCCCCACGGCCCCTGCACTGTGTTGCCAAATCTGCCTCTCTGGACTCTGATTTCAGGCTATTTCTATCTTCCTCACATTTTCTAAAATACATCTCTTGATGTCCTTCTCTTTGGTGCTGCTCCATCAACCACAGAAACCATCTATATTAAATCCTGAGCTGCATTCTGTCTGTCTCTCTCCAACCCCAGCCATTTTTCCGAGTTTGCTGCCTGTTCCCCAGCCTCTGGGTTTGGTTCATAAACTACTTTCACCTGCTCCTATCTGTGGTCCCAGATCCTCGTCCATCTGGGAAGGCAGAAGCCTTATCTCTCTGTCTTCATAATGTCCTCTTCATCTCCAAGTAGTTCCTTTTCCCTGAAGAAAGGACTCTTCTTAGAAATGCTCTCTCAGTGACTTGTCACTTTTACCCTGAAAACGGAGGACGATTCCCCCCACCTTAATGAAGAGAAGCCCAGGGTCCAGAGAGGAGAGAGAACCTACCCATGCTCACGAAGCTCCTAAGTCATGGGGCTGGATCTCCTCGTGATTGACGGCTGTCAAAACCACACACAAGGTTCTCGCAGTTTCTGAAAACCCCCCCGTGGTGAGCCATGCCTTCTGAAATAATCCAACAGAGATTCCAGGTGTTGCTGCAGCTGGAGGAAGTTGATGTTGTGACTCTGAACTTGTTCCACCCCTTAAGTTTCTCCACAATAGGGAGAATCTATTTTCAGCTCAGAAATCAAGCAGGGTGTGGTAGTTGCTGCCAAATTCATTTTTTTCCAAACACATGCCCCATTGCCACACCCAGTGGAAAACCCTGCCAGGCCAAAGAGAACCCAGATGTTGAAAGTATAACCCAGGAGTGAGATGAGGCCTCCCAGTGCCTGGGTCTGGTTCTCAGAAGGAACTGAATCCACATTGGCAGTGCTTTGGCTGAGAAACACCATGTTGTAGGGCTGTGGGAACAGAGACCTGACTTGAACAACCTGGACCCAGTAGCAAGGGGCTTCACTCTCTCTAATGGGGGAGTCTCTCCTGGTTAGTTAGCATGCAGGTTAGTTGCAACACTGATCCCACAGGGACAGAGGATGGCCTGCAGACTTGCCCTGCCTCTTGCTCATGTTTTACCCAGCTCCATTCATGAGGAAAGGCTGGCCTGAGAACTGCCTATCTGTAGGCTCCTGGCACATGCCCTTGGCCTTCCTGCAGCATGGCTGGCCAGCATGGTTGTTCCAAACATTCTTTAAAGAGACTGGGAATTCCTGAGATAGGGAGCTCCTCCAGGGGATGTTCCCCAAGCGACAGGCCAACAGCATCAACATGTCCTGAGGACTCGTTAAAAATGCAGATTGTCAGGCCCTATCAGGCACCTACTGAGTCAAAAATGGGGGGATGGAGGAGGGAATGAATCGTGTCTTTAATACAACTTCCAGTGGATTCTGATGCATGTCTGGGATTCATTGTTGGAGAGATGAACAGGGCAGGAGTCATTCTGCTCTACCTCCCCCAACAGTAATCCACATTCTGTTCTACCTCAACCCCCTCCCACAATGCATTTTCAAGAGGTTCATACAATGTACTGCAGGTTTCAGCTTCGATAGCAATTTCAAGAGTCTCAGCGCAGCTGGTGGCCTCTGCCACCTGTGCTGTGAGTGGCTCAGCGGTTCATTGTGAAGTGGATTCCTGAAACCTTGCGTGGCCCATGCAATGTGTTTACCTCCATAGAAGCTGGATAAAACCAGAAAGGCAGTGATGTCTGCATGTGTGACAGAGGGAGCCTGGATAGAGTGACAAACAGGAAGCAAGCTGTGCTGGGTGAGGTTGGAGCTCCAGTGCAGGAGGCCAAGGAGCAAGGTGTGTACCAGCCCAAGGACCCAGCCTGGCTGGGTCACCATCATAAAGAGGAGAGGGGAGAGAGACCAGAGGGTGAGAGAGAAAGAGGAAGGGCAGAAGGGAAGAAAAAAAGAGAGGGACAATTTTACAAGGGAAGAGAGGAAGAGAGAGAGGGAAGAAATAGGGAGAAGTAGTACCTGGTTAAAATTTAGCTCCCCCGCCACCCCAATCTGCATGTTTGCGTCTTTCACTTGCCCTTGATGGATGTCTTGGAAAGAGTTTTGAAGCAAAGCCACTTGGTGATGCTGGTTCTTCCTGCCTAGGAGATTCCTCTTTGATGAAAGAGCCACTGTCTTCCTGCCAAGGAGTCGAGAACTTTTCTGCAATACACAGGCGTATTTTTACTGATTAAAGAACACTTTGGTAATCATTCCCTTGATAGCACAAAACCCAGATCCTAGAGGTTTGTGAATGGAACCAGTACCTTCTCAGGAGCAGAGTGGCCACACTGGACTCCTGAGGCCTCCCCATACTTAGAGTTCCCCTGGGAGTCTGGACTCCACACTGCCCCTGCTTGAGGTAGATGGAGGAGACCAGGGGACCCACCCCATCTGCCTTGCCAGCATGACTCACTTGACCAAAGGTTGTCTAGCAGGATGCACGTGAGAGCTTGCATCCTAGAGGGCTTCTAGAATATATCCCCATTGCCATAATTGGTTTGGAATCCATTTCTGTTCAATGAGTTGTTCAGAGGAATGGAGCATTCTCATTCTAAAAAGACCTCCTGAGGGAAGGGGAAATATTTTGTTTTATGCAGCTTTTTTACTGTTGTAACCAAAGTCCTGACAAGAGCAGCATCATCCTGACCTTGGAATTTGTTAGAAATGCAGATTCTTGGGCCCTATCTGGGACCTACTAAGTCAGAAATGGGATGATAGAGGAGAACACAAGTCTGGCTTTTTAACAATCCTTCCAGTGGATTCCGATGCATGTTCAAGAACCACTTTGGGAGAGAAGAACAGGTCAGGAGTTATTCTGCTCTACCTTCCCCAACATGAATCCAACAAGAGGAAAAGTTTATTTGGAGGCTCACAGTTTTAGAGGTCTCTGTCAATAGATGGCTGGCTCCATTGCTCCGGGCCAAAAATGTGGCAGAACATCAAGGTGGGAAGAGTGCCGTGAAGAAAGTGACTCAGAACATGACCACTAAGTAGAAGAGAGAGATGCCACAGACAAAATATATACCCCAAAGGCATTCTCCCAGGGACCCACCCTATCCTCCAGACATACCCTACAGGCCTTCCAGTTAATCCCTATAAGGGGATTAATGCACTGATTATGTTAATGATGTCATAACCCAATCATTTCACCTCTAAGTTTTCTCGTATTGTCTCACACATGAGCTTTTGGAGGATGCCTAATATCCAAACCTCAAGACATTGTGGTCTGCTTCTAATGACTGGGATCACAGAAGCCATTATGGGACCAGCCGGCCACTGTGGTGGTGGAGGGGAAGGTTGGAGAGAGTTTAGCTCATTGAGAATGTTAGTAGACCCCTAAACCAACCAACTCTGCACCTCTGCATTAGCAACCATGTGACTTTGGAACTACCAACTGAGCTCCATTCTCTCTGCCCCATGAGGTTGAAAGCACCCATCTCAGAGCATTATAGACCCTGAGTCAGGCATCAATATATCTGAGACACTTAGCACAGTTCCTGACACTAAAGAAAAGTGATGCCTGATGCTCGTAATCATAATGCTGATGACAACTATTCATCCCAGGAAGAGGGGAATGCAGTTAATTGCCTGCCACATTCATACTCTGGATATTCTGCTTCTCTTTAGGAAAATTTGAGGATATTTTAAATTTGGCTTGTTTGAGAATTTGTCCTTTCAAGGTTCAAAAATTATAAGAATATACATATTTTTTTTCTAGTGGATGTTGTCATGGGTTTGTTTCTGGGGCAGAGTCAGGTTAGGTGTTCAGCACATGAACTGCTTTGGAGCCACCCCCCCATCTGTCTCCTGCTTTCTCAATGAATGTGC